TCCCTAAAGGCAAAGGAAACAACATGTACAATTGAAATGAGAAAGAAGTTGGCATTTTTGAGAAGTAGAAAGGTCAGTGCAGCTGGGGCAAGGCTGATGACACTAGAGGAGCAAGGAAGGCTTCCAAGCCATGGCAAGGAGGTTAGCTTGTAACCTGTGTCTAATTTAAAGCCCTAGAATGAGTAGAGGCAGGGGAATGGCATCATGTGATTTGTGGGGGGTTTAATCCTTACCCGAGATCATGTTTTTATTGATTTGAGAAAGAGAAAGGGCGAGGGAGAGAGAGAGAGAAACACATAAATGTCAATCAGTTGCCTCCTGTACACACCCTGACTGGGGATCGAACCCACAACCTGGGTATGTGCCTTTCGGTATATGGGGTGAGCCACACTGCCCAGGGCTAATTTGCATTTTTGAATTATCGCTTTGGCACCTAAGTAGAAAATTAATTAGTAGGTGGGAAGTGTGAAAAAAATATGAAAATCGTGCATCTCTGAAAGAGCCCATGAAGTTTATACCCTCCCAGAAACTCATATACCATCTTTGAGTACTCCACCAATAATAGTGCTTATTATTTATGGAGAAGTTACTGTGTGCCAGATAGTGTAGACCAGTGATGGCGAACCTATGACACGCGTGTCAGAGGTGACACGCAAATTCATTTTTTTGGTTGATTTTTCTTTGTTAAATGGCATTTAAATATATAAAATAAATATCAAAAATATAAATCTTTGTTTTACTATGGTTGCAAATATCAAAAATTTCTATATGTGACAGGGCACCAGAGTTAAGTTAGGGTTTTTCAAAATGCTGACACGCCGAGCTCAAAAGGTTCGCCATCACTGGTGTAGACCATGTATGAGCGTGTTACGTAAATCATTGTCTAATGAACACAAACTCTATGAAGTGGGTATGATCAGTATCATTACAGAGATGAGGAAACCGATGGTCAGCAAGGCTAACGAAAGTTCCCAAGGTCCTATAATTGACAACTAGCGGAGCTACTAGTATAGTTTGAATCAGGTCTCATCTGCCCCCAATCTTTCAAGTGCATTCTCTGCAGTTGCCAGATAAATTCTCTAAATTCCAGTGAGCATCCTTACTTGGGGAAAAGTAGAGTGCTTTTGAAAAAGATCATTTGAAGAAAGGCTTTTGATCCTAATAACAATCCTACATGGATTGAGTACAGTACAGAGATATAACCTTTAACCTCTAGTCATCTGGTTATATACAAATTTTTTATTTATTTCCACAGATATTAAGAATTTCTGCTAAGGATCTAGTTGCAAAGCAACACCCCCGAGGGGGAAATCAATAGCGAAACGTCAAGTGTTCAGTGCTAAGGCCTCTTTTCATGGGCAGTTTCTCTGCAAAGTGTTAAATGTGAGTCGGGTTTGGGTGACAGGAGGCAGCAGGTCTCCTGTGTGTCCTCAAGAAGCAAAGCCCAGGCTGGACCTTCCAGGCCAAATTAACCCTCTCCAAGCTTTGACCAAGTTATGGGCCTGTTATTAACAAGGTGGGAGTGGATGCTGGTTACACATCAAAAGCAAGGGGCTGCAATGCCTGCTTCCTCTTTCAAATGCAGAGAGAGACCTCCAGTGAGCCTTGTGTATCCAGTCATCTAGAAACTTTTGTTCTCCTGGATCAGGAATTGTGGATTTCTCCCTCGCTGCCTGCTGACATTTCTACCCTATTTCTTCTAACCCACATATTTTTAGTGTTACCCAAATGACTTATCAGCTAAATCCTGTATTTTGAGGTATATTTCACTGAATCTATATAAATTATATTCCACTTCAATTAGCCTGGGTTATATAGTACATGACACACACACACTTATTAAATATAACGTAGTCTAAAATAGACACTGTTTGCCCAACTGGCGTGGCTCAGTGGTTGAGTGTCGGTCATGGTTCGATTCCCAGTCAGGGCACATGCCCAGGTTGCGGGCTCAATCCCCAGTAGAGGACCTGCAGGAGGAAGCCAATCAATGATTTTCTCTCATCATTGATGTTTCTCTCTCTCCCTGTCCCTTCCTCTGGAATCAATAAAAATATATTTTAAAAAATAAAATAAAATAGACACTGTTCAAGTTCATTATGTAATGTAGTTTTAATGAGTATCTGAGGTCTCAAAGGAATCAAGTTAAAAACTCTATCATTATACACCCCACTATATCTTTTTAACTTAAATTTTAAATGTTATTAAGTAGCTATTTTCTCTAGGATAGAATATAAGCAATTCTCTGTTATTTGAAAAACAAAGAAAAATTAGTGTAAATGTATGTCCAATAATGTAATATAAGAAAAATATGTTCGACTTTAGAATTATTTTCCATAATCTGTTTTACTTTTCTCAAACTTATTTTGCTTATTAAACTTAGCTTGCAGGTCCTATGGACATCATAAATGATAGTAGGAAGCAATGACCTAAAAGTGTAATTATAAAATTAAATACGATGATAAATATAATAAAAAATAGCATAAGTTCCCAAAGGATACCTGAAAACTGACTATAAATTATCATCCATTATAACACAAAATGGAAAACTCTCACATGAGAGCATTTCTCAGGACAAACCAGGTCAGGAGGCAAACAAATCTTACCTAAGAATGCCCTAAAGACTGTGAGCAGCTTAATGAGCATTTTGCAACTAATTTGATTAAGAGCAGAAACTGAATTACAATAAGGATGATCAAAATGAAATAAGAGTCTCCTGGAATCCAAATGCATTCTCTTTCATTGTCCTGTTTATGCACACACATGAGTCCAGAGGAAGATAAAGCAAAAAGATACAAATGAAATTGTTTGAAATGAAGGAGAAATGGAACTAGAATCCAGCTCCAGCAGCCCAGAGTATTCTACGTAATTTTCTTTTAATCCATATAGTAGTCTACATTCCCCCCCCCCGCCCCAATCCTTCAATACTTAGCATGTGTTATAAATAATTTTTGTGCTCTCAATTTCATCAGTACTTCCCCTTCTTTTCAATCCACTATTTGGTAACTACTGCTGACATCTATTGAATTGTTTCTAAAAGCCAGGCACTATTCCAAACTCTGTCATTTAAAGTTCACGTGAACTTTGTAAAATAAATACAACTATTATCCCATGTTATAGATGAAAAGGCTGAGGCATGTGCCTCCATAGCCTGCTTTCTCAGCCACTGTGTGGTCAATGGTGGCCCCCAAGAGATATGCCCATGTCCAACCTCTGGAACATTGAATGTGACCTATTTGGAAAAAGGGTCATTGCAGGTGTGATTAAGTTAAGGACCTTGAGAAGATGAGTTCATATTAGGTTGTCAAACTGGGCCCTCCATCCAATGACAAGTGCCCTCGTGAGAGACAGAACTGAAGACACAAACACAGAAGAGAAGGAAGGCCATGTGAAGATGAAGGGAAAGACTGGAGTGACATGGCCGCAAGGCAAGGAAGGCCTGAAACCACCAGAAGCGCGCGCGCACACACACACACACACACACACACACACACACACACCCCTGCCGACACCCTCCACCAATCCCTGGAGGGGACATGGCTGTGCCAGATCTTGGACTTTTAGCTTCTAGAAAAGTGAGAGAATGAATGTCTGTTGTTGAAGCCACCCAGCTGAAGTAATTTGTTCAGGCAGCTCTAGGAGACCAATACTAGAGACACTGTGTACAGGAGGCAACCAATCGATGTTCTCTCTTAAGCCTAATCACACCTTCATGAATAGTCCCTTCTAGGAACATAAGGGGCCTCCTTGCTCCCATGTATGGTTTCACTCCTGGGAAAGACCTTACAGAGCTTCTCGCTCTTTACCCTGAAGACACCCTCTGCAGATGGTTCTTCCCGTCAACACTTTCCTGAATGCTGTGTCTGCTAATGGTTCTTACGGTTCAGAACCTACTGTTTCTATTCTATGGCCATGCAAGCTTTTTCCAGTTCAAATAAAAAATGGCTTTGCCTATTGAAAGCGTATTTTATACACTAAATTAGTACAAATAACATGCAATCTATTTGCACTTGAAAACGCGATGCATTCTAACATTACTATTCTGAAAACTTCCTAACATTTCAATTCAGATAATAATTGTGATTATTATTTTAACACATGCTTTAGAAATGTATACTTAGTATTTCAAATATCCCCTGACATACTCTTCATTGATATACCCTTATTGGAAATCACTTCTAATCCTAGTTGATATTGTGCTGGCAGTCTCTGTCCTTCTGTATCTACCCTCCCCACTCCTGGCCCTGGTCTGAGTTCCAGTGTTGACCATGAAAACCACCCCGCTTCTCACTCAGACCTGATTTAGACGATGAGATATTGGACTTTTGAGCTGATGATATCTGGATGAGATGTTTAGTCTTATCTATTGAGTTCCCATTAATTGCATGCCCTTGCCCAATGGTTGCTGGTGAGTTCAGTTGGTGGGAGGCCCCGGTAGACGGAAGGGCACGAGGAGAGTGAGGTCAGGGTATTTATTCCTTCTCTCTTCCTGCAGCACTGAAGGGCTGGCTGTGGCCATGGTCCTCTGGTTGGGGTCGCACCACTTGGCCTGTCAGGAGACCCACCCCCATACCTGTAACTCTCTCCAGGTGCTGTCCCCCCTGTCCTCCCTATTGTGGGACCTGGTGCCTCCCATCACTTATTTGTTCTCATAAGCCTAACCACACCTTCATAAATAGTCCCTTCAATAAACTCTTTTCCAGCACCCATTTAAGGATACTGTCTGTCTTCTACCAGACCCTCACTGACATAGCTATTGAGTATCCCAGCTGATAGCATCAATCTAACATACTGAATAATTTCTTCTCATAGATAAAATTATTCCAGGTTTTCAAAACATTTCTTGTTTAAAAGATTTGCAATTGGCTATGATTGGTGTGAGTTATTTTTTTTCCTTTAACAACAACAAAAATGTGATAACTTGGGAGAATTCTGTTCCTCTCAGACACCTCTGCCACAACTGACTCTTACCACTGAATGAGATTTTGTTTCCAAAATACCTGTCATCACCATCACCGACGCACTCGGGGAAGGCAAGGCTACAGCCAAAAAGCATGATATGTTGATAGCAACTGAGGCGGTGGAGGTACATGAAGAATTTGAGGAACTTCTCCATTTCCATGTTTTTGACAATTGAGAAGAGAGGTGTTAGCGTGGTGTGGTAGGGCAGCATCTGACATTGGCTGTGGGTGATGTTCATGCAGGCACCTGGGAAGTCAAGATAATTACATTTAGGAGCAGGCATATCAGAATTACATGTTTACAAACTCGTTTGATATGAAAGGTTAATGTGTTCATAAGATAAAATATATTCTATAAGTAAGAATGATCATAGACGTATATATACATACATATAAGACTGGGGGATGCACGCACATGCAGACGTGTGACAATGAAATCAAGCTACTTATATTCACAGAGGAAGAGCATCTGTGTCCTGGGAAAATGTGTGGAAAAAATACACTCACATGTAGCTGGTGGGCATAGAAATGGGCAATCATTGTTCTGGATCACAGCTGGGCAGGGCAATATGGATAAGTCTTTTAAATGTGCATATCATTTGACACTGTAATAGCATTTCTAAAAAATTTATCCTAAGGAAATAATTGTGATTTTGAACATGGATTTATCTACAGGAATCTTCATCATTATATAGTTTTCAATTTTTAAAAGATATAAATCACCTCAGCATTCAATGAAGGGGATTGTTTTAAAATATTATGGAACACACAACAGATCACTTAACTTAGATATATGAAAGATGCTTTAAAAGATTATTTAATCACATGGAATGGTGCTTATAATATAACACATAAAAATAACAAGTCACAAAACAATTTGTATACTATGATCCTGTTTTTAAAAACACGTGATTATACAAGGATTCCCAATCCTGACTATGTTGACAGTTCAGGGTCAGCCCAGAGCCTCTGCTTTCATTTTCTCATGGCTGTCTTTCCTCCTGGGCACTGCCACCTACACATCCTTTCCTTCCCCCTCATTCCATAAATTTGCATGGTTGGTCTGATATAAATCAAAATATTAATAGGAGACAGTTATATTTTTCTTTTTAATGTTTTTCTGTATTCTCTTCTTAATTTATATAGTTTCATTATTTTATAAAAATTTATTGAAACTTTGGTTATTGGTTAAGTAGGCTACTCTTTAAAAGAATCTTCAGGCTTTGAAAATGAAGTAGAAATATTAATTTTAATTATGTTGCATGTAGCAAGAACAGAAAGAAGTTCAACAAGAAAGGGAACATCTCTTCTGATCACTGTACAATTTCTAGTCAAAGAAATGGAGAGAAAAATCTTTCTAAGCCTACGTTTCACTTCATTTTAATAAAGATAATGTTTAAAAAATATAAGGCTGCATCTCTGGATAAAATGGCCAGACTAACCTTTGATCTAAAATACAGAAGAAACATACCCTATCGCAGGATTCCCAACCCCCTTTTCTGCTTCATTCATTCAGATAGATCACCTGAAACATCTCTCATCCTCTTCTCTAGTCCACTTCTAGGCACACTGCCTAGTCTCAAATCTCTTACAAAACTCTCTGAAAACCACCCAAGCCCTACAGAAAGTCATTCCTCCAAATGACCAGAGTGTAACCATTAGCTCAAAGAGTCCTACACTTAACAGAAAGACACAAATCCTCATTGTTATATATTTATTGATCACCCAAAATACACTGAGCTCAGTGGGGCATGATCACAATATGATTTCCACTTTGAAAGGGAACCAGTGACATGCAGAACTTCTCTGTATGCTAGACTCTAGTATAGACATGGCCAAAAAAATAAGTACACAACACTTTTTTTGGACCTCGTCAAAATAAAAATACAAAATGGGAAAGAAAGGAAAGAGACAAAGAAAAATCCAAATTAAAATACGCAGACGGAACACAAACAGACACATATATACATGAGTGCTGAGGTAGAGAGTTCTAGGCAAGTTTTATAAATATGACATGCAAGTCACTTAGTAATGAAAGTTAAAACACAATTCAGTGTGGGAGGGATTATAGATGGGGAGAACGTATAGACGGGAGACTTCAAAATGGCACAATTGTATGCACGGTGTTACAAGCAGAGATGCTTGCTTATAAGAGTTGAGAACGAAATTTTTTCCATCAAAAACACGAAATCATTTATGGAAACTTCAGTGTTAAGAAAACATTTGTTGAAAACAAACCTTGTGCCAGGCATCAAAACAATTACTCAAATTCTCTCATTCACAGTTGTCCCATTTTCACAACCCAGTTAAGTGACATCGCATCTATATTATACATGAGGGAACAATTTCAGAAAGACTAAGATATCTGCCCAACAGGGCACAGCTATTATGTGGAAATTCCAGATCTTCAAACCTATGCCTTCTGAGTAACCTCTGTTTGGAGTCAAAAAATTATTAGAGAAGATAATTCCTAATGGCCAATGAAAAAGAGGCTAAAAAGTATATAAAAATATATCACAAGGTCTTTATTTATATTCACAGGTATTATACCCATGTATACTGAGCATATGCTATAATTTCTTTTATATTACATTATTTTCTTTAGGGGTCACCAGCTTTGGAACTTATGTACTTGATGATGAACCACTTTTGAAGCAATGAGATGGCCAGAAGGCTCGTTCACCTCACCTAGCCAAAGAAAATACTGGATATTGAGAGATCATTTTAAAAATACAAGATAGGGAGGAAAATCGCATTTTGGTGGATTATACTATGTTCAAGACAATGTGAGTTTCACAAAAGAAGAAAAAAGAATGGGAACTGTAATAGAAAAAAATTTTAAATGGTATTTTCCTAATAGCAAATTTCCTTAGGAAATCAGAACCTACACTCAGTAAATCATAAAATAATAGTGTATAACTTTAAAAATAAGTCTCAAAATACTTGGTATAGACATACATAGTAATGCTTTATATCTGTGTAATGCTTTTCAAATTTTTCCCAAAGCACTGTCAGATTATAAAATATAATCTTAATAATATAATACATATTATCTTGTTATAAATTAAGAAACTAAGGCTGTCATAGATAGGTATGTAGATAGGTAAGAATGGATGGATGGATGGATGTACAGATGAACGGATGGATAGATAGATGGACAGATGGATAGATAAAAAAGCAGCAGGCAGACAGATAAGAAGTGATTTGCAGTAGGACACAGTAATAGAAGTAGACTGATACATAGGCCCTCCATCTCATGACAACCACTACACCAGAGTGGTTAATAGCACATAAATGCTGACGGAATTCAAAGGAACAAAAATTTAATGTAGGGTGAACAATTAGGGAAGATGTAAGGAAGAGGAATAACTCATTTTTGATGGTTGAAAGATATATAAATAAGGTCTGGATTGGCAGAAGGGATAAAAAGGGTACATAGTACTGATAGAGAAAAATTAAATACAAAGGCTGAGATTCATAACTGCATGTGACAAAGATGGAAAAGCTTGATTTTGGGCAGAATAGTTCAACAAATTTAGCCAAGAACATGCTCATAGCCAACAGATATAAAAGAGAATTATTCTTTAAGACTCTTGACTTCAATTTTTTTATATTCAAGCCATTGTGTAAATAAATTTTCTATCATCCCTCCTGCCTCAACATTTGTAGCAAATATTATTTTTTTCCTAGAATGTTCCACTGTCTTTGAAACATGTGATTCTAGTGGTATGTTTGTGTACATTCCCACCAGGGGCACTCCGTTTTCATAAGCCAGCTGCATGCTGTGTACCATTCAGAGTCGTTTCTCTGTGGGGAAAAGGGAGGGGACTTTTGGAAATGGATTCATTTATTATTGCTACTCCATCTAACGTGGGTAGAGGAAAGAGGGAAAAGTCTATTTTTCTTCTCTGAGAATTTACTAGTGAATCTAATAGAAATTAAAAGTCGGGGATGCCACACAAGAACATGTAAAAAGATTCAAAGAATATAATTCATCATCGTTTATGCAGACATCATTACTCAATTTGTGTGTCTTCTCTTTAACAGTTACTTCAAGTTGTGCAGTGGGAAGGAAGGCTTAGAAATAGATCTGAAGACCAAGACAGCCTCTTAATGCAATGTATTTCTGGTGAAACAGAAATATTCTTATTAGATCCTCAATTCTAAAACACCATTACTAGTAAGACGACATTTAATAACAATTAAATAATAAATTTTCAGAATATTTTTTGATTACATGGCATGTCCCAATGTGAGAAAAAATTAAAATATGAAAAAGTGCTGCTTGGAGTTGAGGAGATTAGTTATTGACTTTTTCCTTAGTTTTCTTAAACGGACTCAATAGTTTCTAGACTAAACTGAGGCTTTCTTTATTCAGATCACATTGCTAGTGTTTCTAGATACTAGAGTTAGGAAGGAAAGATGGGTCTGTCGTTGAGTTGTCCTTATGTTCATTTGGAAACTATAATAAATTCTGGGGTTTTTTTTCTACTCCTAAGATTAGGTAATGTGGAGTTAAAAATTCTTATTTATGTGTTTTTTTTAAATGCAAAATTAACTTAACAATTAATGGTTAGTTTTTTCTAAAGTAATATACACTCAATCAAAGGCCCTGAGTAGCTGATCTTAAAATAATGATACCCACAGCCAATCTTATTTAGCAAACCACTTTGGTAGTGGTTAAGGAAAAAAACAACAACAATAACAATAAAATGCTGATTCACTTACTACACATTTCTACACCAAGTCATTACATTCATGGTTTTTACAACACTCACATTCTCTATTATCCCTTAATTACAAATAATTTCATTGTCAATCAGTGCAATATATTCACTATTTGTATTTGATTTTGACTTGCATAGAATTTATTTCAATAGTGGGTTCCTTTAAAAATCCATTGAAGCCGAAACCGGTTTGGCTCAGTGGATAGAGCGTCGGCCTGTGGACTGAAGGGTCCCAGGTTCGATTCCGGTCAA